CAATTTTGTGTGGCAAACTAATGTATCTTGGACTCAGGATTCTAGTTCAAATCATTCATTCTGTCTCCAGCACCCGTTAGCCACTATACCCTGTCATCTGAGAATGATCTGCTTCCAAAACATCTGCATACATTAAAAAAAAATAGTGCACATTCACAGAAGATGCATTTATTTCATTTAGACAATGAATACGTAGTAAGAGAGTTCCAGCTGTGTTAAATAACCCCTTGTTAAGACCACAATTCACAGGTTAGAAAACCCTGCATTCAAGTTTTGACATTTTTTTCTTCTTTCTTAATTTTTCTTTTCCCTCTTCCTTCCTCCTCCCTTTCCTCTCTCATTCTCTTCCTCTCAATCTCTGTCTCTCAACTTCTAGAGAGAGAGCATGAGGTCTGTTAGAACCAAACAGGTCTCATTCCAAAGCCTTCTTTTGTCTTGTGCTAGCCACCTTATTTTGAGAAAGTTACTGAACTTCCCTGAGACTCAGTTTTCCCCTCTTAAAAAAGGAATAATAATATCCTTGTCAGAGTAATTGCCCTTTAAATAATACTGTGTCTGGAAAGTGTTCTAATCATAGTAGCTGTTGTTGCTGTGGTTAAGTTTTGTTATTATTGTCATATTATCATTTTAGGTCGCATCGGAGACTCAGTTTCAATGCTGCTGTCATTGATCCACTCAGCCAGGGCAGCCTGATTGCTCTGTCATTCCTTTAGAGCTGATGGAATGCTTTGTAAGACCATTTGGAAAACTTGTTATTTCAGACACCATCTGTGAATGTCTCAACAAACTGCACAGAAATGATGGCATTTTTGCCTCTCCAAGCCCTAGAGTTGTTTGGGTTTTCAGATATGTTTATTTTTACAACTTCTTAACAACATTTGAACATGTTGTAGACCTTAATGCCAGCAACAGTTTCTGTCTTCCAACCAATATATTGGATTTCTTGATTTGGTTTCTTAGGTCATTGTTAGAAAACACTTGTTTTAAAAAGGCACAGTCAAGTTCTGTCTCAACAAACACCACAGATAAGTTTCCTGTGGTCCAGTTTTTGAAGAAGAGACCTTCTAAACCAGACTGGGTGTTGTAAAGAATTTATTATTATCTTAATAACAGACATATAGCAATTCTAAAGCCTGCCATCTCTGGTGTATGCGTACTGTCACACGGATACACACACACTCTTACATCATTGACTTTCTCTTCTTTATGGCATTTATCGGATCTGCAACATATCTATCTAATAGTTGACTTGTTATGATATGCCTTTCCCACCATACTCACAAACCAATGAAAATAAAGATATTATCTGACCTGTTTTCAATATGTCCTAGTACCAGGCACCATTTCTAAATTCATATGAGTTTTTTAATTTACAAATGAAACTATGTAAATCGCCAATGTCTGGTTCCTGGCTCTCCCCTCCATAAACGTCTGCTGCTTCCTCCTCCTTGGCCATCTTTGCATGAACTTCTGCTAATTAAAGTTTATCAATGGACACATTTCTCTGGTGACTCGAAGTGCATTTTAAAATTTCCAGCTCTTTTGTTTCATCCCTGAAGATTTTTTTAAGCAAGTTAAAGAAAAGCCAGGCTAGTTCGCTGTCTTCCTTTTGTCAAAACCAATATATGACAATACGTGCCATATACACCACTTCACATGACACCCGCATCTCCTCTCAGATTGTAAAGTTCATTGTTTAGTCTGATTTTCCTCAAGCTAGTTTTTTTATTCATTGAAAAAGCTATCCATGAATAATTTTAAAAAAATCAAACAAAAGTAACTGTGCAATGCAATGGAAGTCACATACCAAATTTTCTTTTGTGTTTTGGCTTAACAGTAAGGTATCCAGGAACATTTCAGTCTTATGCCAGCATCTGTGTGTATGCAGATACCTAATGAACACTACACTCACTCTTATAACCCCTGTTATTTTTCCCCCACTTGAAAGGATGTATCTGTAAGATCTTTCTATATTACTACATGAAGATCTGATTCTTTTTCTAAAACAACTGCACAGTATTTCATTGTGAAGATACAATTTTCCATATATTGAATCTATTTGTGAACACTATGGATAGTTTTCAGTCTTTTGATATTTAAAAACAATACTACCATAAATAAATACTTCTCATAAATATATCTGTGGAATGAATTCTTGAAGTAAAACATTAGGTCAAATAGTTTGTGCTTCCTAAGTGGTAATGTCTTGCCAAATTTTGCTCTACATGGGTTGCCACAGTTTATACTCCTACCAAGTTTATGAAAGCATCTTTCTTGCCAACTAGTCACCAATATTATTTATGATCCACCATTTTTAATTTTGTTAATCTGATCAGTGAAAACTGGCAGGTTCTTTCTGAAGCTCTTTTAACTTGCATTCTCTAATTATGCAAAAGCTCAGTATCTTTTAACATATTTCAAACCCATTTACATTATTTTTTTAGTTACCAAATTTTCTTTTATGTTTTTGCTTTAGTTACCAATTTGTAGGAATACTATATTCACTATGCAAGTTGATTCTTTGTCTCCCATACATTTTTTTCTGTTGGTTGTTTGGCTAATTAAATGTTACCCTATTTTCATGCAGAATTTTTAAAAATACATAGTTATTAACCTTTTCTAAGGCTTCTGCCCTGATGTGCCATTCAAAATGGTCTCTCAGGGCACCCATTAACAGCACAATGTAATTCCATCTTTGTATGCAGTATCCGTCCAATTTCAGTCCTGCTCACTAGACTGTAAACTCCACAAGGTCAGGTACTATCTTTCTGTAACTCACTGTGATATGCCCAACACATGATGTGGTACCTGCCTGCTATGGAGCGCCTCTTCGGAAATGTTTATGGAACGAATAAAGGAGGGAAGTAATAAGTGGTATGATGTCATTTATTTACCTAAAATACGTGGGTATTTTTTTTTCACTATTTTTTTTAGTAAGGTATTAATGATATACACTCTTATGAAGGTTTCACATGAAAAAACAGCGTGGTTACTACATTTACCCATATTATTAAGTCCCCCCCATACCCCATTGCAGTCACTGTCCATCAGTGTAGTAAGATGCCACACAGTCACTATTTGCCCTCTCTGTGCTACGCTGTCTTCCCTGTGACCCCTCACACCATGTGTACTAAACATAATACCCCTCAATCCCCTTCTTCCTCTCTCTCCACCCACCCGCCCCCACCGCTAGTTCCTTCTTGGAGTCTGTGAGTCTGCTGCTGTTTTGTTCCTTCAGTTTTGCTTTGTTGTTATGATCCACAAATGAACAACTGAGGGAAATCATTTGGCACTTGTCTTTCTCCGCCTGGCTTATTTCACTGAGCATAATGTCCTCCAGCTCCATCCATGTTGTTGCAAATGGTAGGATTTGTTTCTTTCTTATGGCTGAACAATATGTGGGTACTCATGTTCAGAGTATGTATTTATCAGAGGCTCAAGTCCCAGTGGCACATAAATTTATCTTCAAAAAGAAAAAAGAAATGATCCTCAATCCAGTTCATGTCAGCACAAGTCACTGAAGACTGTATTTGAAATCATTTCATATTTGCTCTCAGAACTGCTGACTTTTGGGAGGCTGTGTCTTAGTGGTCATTTCTCTCTCACACAGCATCACTTTGTTGGTTCAGAAAGCCAACATCTCTCCCTTGCCAAGAAACTAGTGATGAATTTCAGCAGTATGTCTCAGAAACAGCTAACTTTGAACAGACGTGAAAGATATTTTTTATAAAGATGATCACTGTATTTAAAGAACTCACAACCTTTTGAAAGAATAGACAGTTTTCAGAGAGAATGTTTAAGATTAATAGATGTTTTGCCTTCTGTGGCTTTTTATATGAGATAAGGGCATACTAGGCATGTTTTTCCATCTCTTAGTTTAGAATCATCTTAGGATTGTGTTATCATTTTGAAAAGGCTGCACTATAAAAATAATACCTTTGGTAACAGGTAAAAATAACAAGGTAGATATGGTGAGGGTGTGTAATTTTTATTTGATTGTCAGCAATGAAAGAGTTAATAACTAGAATTATCTCTGATTTTATATTTCAAGTCAACCTAAATTTTATACTTTATTTAAAAATATGCATGTTTTATAAATCTAAAAGATCTTTCTAACTTAGATTTATATTCAGATATATCATGTCTACCACTTTTTAATTATGAATTCATTATGTGCTCATTTTCACTCCTCCCTCCTCCGACCTGGGTAACATAGAAGTTGACCGTTATTTTATGGACTGTAGGAAAAGCCAGGTACACCCCAGGCTCTCTTTTATGTGTGCGCTCAGGAATTTCAGCAAAGGCTCCACCTTTCTGCCCTTTGGTTCCTTGAAGGTTGAATTCATTCCTCACAGGAAAGAAAAGATTATCTGAGAAACTATCGTGATTCAAAGAGTTTTAGAATTAGGGTCTCTGGAATTTTTTTTTTTAATTCTCCATTTCTTAAAAAACAAGGCATTTGAGTAAGTAGGTCACTGAAGGAAGTGGCGGATGGTGGAGGTGTTCTCAGCGACCCAGTAGGCATGCCATTTTGTGCCTGGGGCCGGGACTGACCCCGGGATCTAGTGAAGGACCTGGGATGGGAACCAGGATGAGCAGGGCCTCGCTGAGAGTGTCTCCCCTCTCCCTTTATCCCACAGGCATAGGACTTAGGGAAGCTTCGGTGAGAATTTATGTATTTTTGCTTCTGTTTGGAGGTAGGGTATATGCATAGAGTAATTTAAAAGCCTGTGTATTAGCTATTCTTCAGAGTAATTTCATAAAAATGAATGGTATATGATTTTTAAAAGATCTTTATGCTCACAAAAATTGGCATCCCTTATTCTGAACATACCCTCACCAATAACTTGCTGTGTTTCTAGGTTAGGGGAATACAAAAGTCTGTATGAATGCAATTGACATTCAGAGATATAACGCACAAACAGAATCCCATGTGAACCAAAGAAGACTAAAAAAAGAACCTAAGACGGTTAATTAAAATTGTGGCTGGTTTCCTTTAGGTTATTGATATGTAAGCCAATACTTACATTTGAATTACTCTCTATGCCCTTGTTCTATGCTTTTGAACCCGTGACTTCAGGAACAGATGACGTCAGTGCCCTGGACCTGACGGTAGTGCAGGATGGCTTCCTTCTGCCTCTCTCTGTTATCCCCTGTGAGAACAGTCTGAATCTCTGTGTCGGATGGCCCGGGATTCAGGCCCAATTCTGCAAAGCCTACACAGTTAAGGTACAGGCTTTTTTTGGAAAAATGTACGCAGCCAAAGATCAACAAAGGGAGAGAAGGCGTGGGGGCCTCTCTTCCTCCTGCCTTTCCACAGAGAAACGGGTCATGGCGATGGCGCTTCTGGAGCCCCACTGTCGGAAGGGGACACACAGGCCGAAGGGGGCCACCAAGCCTGGAATTTGGTTGTGAAATGTTTAACAGCCTAGAAATGCCAACTGCCCAGTGCTTACGGACCTAACTCCTGGGGGAGACAGTCACCTCTGATGATAATTTTGGGTCGTGAGAACCTGAGCCTGCAGAGCCCACCCTCCTGTCAGGGGACGGGGGACCCTGCCCCCCAGACCTGCCAACTCATTGTCTCGGCAACCAGAGTACTCGTGGTCATTTTCAGGTGACCCTGATCCTGGTGCTGTGATGGAGAGCCACTGAGAGGCATTAGAGTCTAAGAGACAAATGATTAAGGTAGTTGGAACCTGGTTTCTTTCTTTCCTTTTCCTTCCCTCTCCCTTGCCTCCCCATCCCCCCTTCCCTTCCCCTCCCCCTCTCCCTCTCCCTCTCCCTCCCTCTTCCCCTCCCCCTCCAGCTCTCCGGCTGCTTCCCCCTCTTCTTCCCCCTCCCCTCCCCCTCTTCCTNCCTCCCCTCCCCTCTCCCTAAGCCTCTCATCCCCCTTCCCTCCCCTCTCCCTCCCTCTTCCACGCTCCCTCCCCTCCCCCTCTTTCCACTTCCCCTCCCCCTCTCTCTTTCCTTCTCTACCTCCTTCCCTTCCTTCCTCCCTCCCTTCCTTCTTATTTTAATTCATTTAGCCACACTCCAACCTAGTTGTGCTCCTAAATACCTTTATAAATGCTTTCATTTCCTTGTTTCTGGATTACCTCTTGTTTGCCTTGTTTTTACATTTCCTGTGTCCACTCCTGGTTTCCTCATGTCACTTTGCACAAGGAGTGCCGTCAGGACTTCTCAGGTACCTCTCTGCTCCACCTGATTTGTTCTGAGCTGTCCTTCAGCCGCTGAGATCAGCAGTGCGTGTTGTCAGGCGGTTTGCCCTGTTGTTTGATGTCACCCGTAGGGCTGTTGCTAATTCAGCTGTTAGGATTCTGGACAGGATTATGGAAGACACCTGGGTTTCCTGTTTTTGAAGTTGTTATTCAGGTAATAAGGTTTTCATGAGGTACAATGCCTTGTTGTAGTACAATTTTTCGGGTATGTAGGAAAGATATGTCTTTGTTTCCTTTGGATAGAGAGCAGGTTTTCAAGGAGCGATGTTGTTCCTTGTGGATTTATAGTTTTCAGTGCGCCCTTTCTGACTTGTGTCTGATAGGTGATCAACCAAAATGGTGAACTCATTTGAAAAACAAAATGACTTGAAGCCCTGTGTCTGGGGCCTCATGGGAGCTCGAGTTAGACTGAGCAAAGGGCAGGGCGCTGTTGGGCAGGGCTGCCTGAGGAGGCAAGGTGGAGAGGGTAAACCAGACGGGCTAAAAATCATATTTAATTTTAAAAGTGAGAAAGCAAAACTAAAATATTCTGAAAAACAAAGGAAGAAGAATTTCAGAGTTCTTCCCTGGGCCATCTGAGACCTTGAAGTCCAGTTTTATCTAACTCGGTATGATGAGGAAAATTCAGTGTACCCTGCAGAGTGGGCTTAGGCACCTTAAACCTCAGAGGTTGATTCAGATGTACACAATTTTTTTAATGTCATCCTTTGACATGTCATGAATCAATTTTTATCCCATCTTTTGTTTACTTTTTAAGGGTGAGTTGTTTCTTACATACTGAAAAACTGATCTTAAAGCATTCGTGTTTTGGATAACTTATTATAAATCCCCTATTTGCCTTGTGCTTAAATCAAAAAAGCAACGATGTAAGAGTTTAACCAGGATTCAGTATCACTTTTATGCTCATTGTTGAAAAGGGTTTTTTCATTTTCATTTCAGGGTGATGCTCACAACTATTACAGTCATTATAGTGCTGAAATTTGAGCTTCAAAAAAAGTGTTTCCATGAATGAAATTGCTATATGGGACATTCAGTAAGTTTGTAAGCTAACTAGAACACTTTATAAACATCTGATTCTTGGTCCACATTGTATGGAGAAATTTCTGATGTGAATGAGAGCTGTTCACCATTTTCATAGCTGTTCAGGTTTATTGAGGTATAATTGACAAAATAAAAATGTGATGATTTAATATACATGTAACACTGTGAAAGGATTCTCTCCATCTAGCTAGTGAACATATCCATCACCTCACCTATTTATTTGTTGATTTCTTTCTTTATTTTTGGTGAGGACTTAGAAATTCTACTGTCTTAGAAAATTTCAGTTATATGTTAGTGTTAAAACTAGGTCAACATGTCGTATGTTAAATCCTCAGACCTTATTCATCTTATAGCTGAAAGTTTGTACCCTTTCACCAACTTCTCCTTATTTCCCACCCCCAACTCCCAGCAGCCACTATTCTATTCTCCATTTCTATGAGTTTGACTTTTTTTTAGATTCCATATATAAGTGATAGTATGCAGTATTTATCTTTCTCCATCAGATTTACCTCACTTAACTTAGTTCCATCCATGTTGTTGCAAATAGCAAGAATTCTTTCTTTCTGAATAATATTCAGAAATATTTGTGGTTAATATTCCACATTTTCTTTTTCCATGCCTCCATTTGTGGACACTTGGGTCAATGTCTTGGCTACTGTGAGTAAGGGTGCAGTGAACATGGGGGTACAAATACCTCTTTGACACCCTGTTTTCATTTCCTTCAGATACATACCCAGAAGTAGATTGCTAGATCATATGATGGCTCTATTTTTAAGTTTTTGAGGAAGCTCCATATATTTTTCCAAAGAGGGTGTATCACTTTACATTCCCAGCAGTAGTGCAAGAGGGTTGCCCTTTCTCCACATCCTCACCAATACTTGTGATCTCTCCTCTTTTTGTTGACAGCGATTCTAATAGGTGTGAGGTTTTCATTTGCGTTTCTATGATGAGTAGTGATGTTGAGCACCTTTTCATGTACCTGTTGGCCATGTGTATGCTTTCTTTGGAAAAATGTCTGTTCAGATCTTCCCAGCTTTTAATAATTTTTTTTTTGTGCTATTGAGTTATTTGAGGTCTATGTATATTTGAATAAGAACCCCTTGTCAGATACATGAATTGCAACTATTTTCTCCCATTCTGTAGGTTTCCTTTTCATTTGTTGATAATTTCCTTTGCTGGGCATAAGCTCCATATATTTTTCCAAAGAGGGTGTATCACTTTACATTCCCAGCAGTAGTGCAAGAGGGTTGCCCTTTCTCCACATCCTCACCAATACTTGTGATCTCTCCTCTTTTTGTTGACAGCGATTCTAATAGGTGTGAGGTTTTCATTTGCGTTTCTATGATGAGTAGTGATGTTGAGCACCTTTTCATGTACCTGTTGGCCATGTGTATGCTTTCTTTGGAAAAATGTCTGTTCAGATCTTCCCAGCTTTTAATAATTTTTTTTTTGTGCTATTGAGTTATTTGAGGTCTATGTATATTTGAATAAGAACCCCTTGTCAGATACATGAATTGCAACTATTTTCTCCCATTCTGTAGGTTTCCTTTTCATTTGTTGATAATTTCCTTTGCTGGGCAAAGGCTTTTAAGTTTGATGTGCAGTCGACCCTGGAACAATGCATGCAATCAAAAATCCTCATTTAACTTTTGACTCTCCAAAAATTCAACTAATGCCGTACTGTTGACCAGGAAGCCTTACCAATAACATAAAGTTAATTAATACCTATTTTTTATGTTGTATGTGTTACATACTGCATACTTAACAATAAAGTAAGCTAGAGGAAGGAAAATGTTTTTTCAAGTTGTTGTGAATGTTCAAATATTTTTTCCAATGCATTTATTGAAAAAAATCCCCAGGTAAGTGGACCCATACAGTTCGAACCTGTGCTGTAATGCCATTTTTTCACTTTTTCTTTTGTTGCCTTTGCTTTTGGTGTTAAATCCAAAAATTATTGCCAAGACCCAGGTCAAGGACCTTACTATGTTTTCTTCTAGGAGTTTTACAGTTTTAAGTCTTTAATCAACCTTGAATTGATTTTTTGTGTGTGGTGTAAGATAGGGATCTAGTTTCATTCTCTTGCTATCCAACATGGTTTATTGAAATGTTAGACTTGGCCTAAATATCTCATATGACATGGATATTTATTTAATGGCTGGTTTGGTAGGATAGCCATTTTTTTGGTTTTATGTTTGTTTTCCTTTGAGAACTTACTTGAGATCTCTACCTGGTGTATGTATGTTCTGAAACATGCAAAGCCATTGATAAATTGGATATTCTCTGGATTTATGCAATTTTTATGGTTGCTCTGTTTTACTCATACTGTAATTTCTGAGAAGCTAAAATGTAGGAAGGAATTTATCTATTGTTTGTTTTTGGATTCTTCATTTGGTGGTCATTCAATCCACTCTTCTTAAATAAAACTATATTTTTTCTTATCTGAACCACAAAAAGTGAAGTTGAATATTGAGTCACAAATAATGAATAGTGCAGTATCTTTCATTAAGTAAGCTTGTATTTTGCCACATTTAAGATTTTTATGTATTTGAGTGTCCGTGATACAATTCTGTTTACTTTGAAAATTTTTAAGTCTGCTAAAGTAGAAATACAAATTGGAAGTTGGTCTTTACTAATGACGACTTAAAGTAAAAAATAAGAAAACACATAAAACTACATTTACCCAGCTATTTTCCTGAATTGCTTCTGTTTTTTTTTTTTTGTTGTTGTTGTTAATAATTTCTGCTTGAACAAGGAAGAGATAGGATGGGATAACCAAAAATAGGATATTTGGTTAGGGTAAGAAAACCTAAAAATAATCTAGTTTTAAAAATTGGCATTTGGGGACTGAGGGGGCTCTGAGTTATTTGCATGTATCTACAAGGGGACCATTCTTAAAGTAAATATTTAAAAGTGATTTGGATTGCTTAGGAAACTAGGAAATAATATTTATAAGACTAGAAGATAATGAGGTAGGGCCTGAACAGACTTGTCACTTTAAAATTACGTTTATGCATGTTTTAATGTATTTTTCTTATCACCTAATATCATATAATCTAATCTTATTTTGTAAGTAACAATTTTTACGATATATAATTTGATATATCATATTAAGTGATTGAGTAAGTGAATATTATTTGAACATTTTCTGAAGAT